TGGTGCTGCAAAGCCTGACGCGGGGCTTGATTCACAGACGATGAGATGATGACCCGAGCCAAAATCATAGAGCCAGATGCTTACGTGAGCCACCCAGGCACCTCGCTCAACATTTTGTCGTTCTTGTCAGAACGTATTGAGCTATAATTGGCTGTTTGACACTGTAAACTTTGTTGGAGCGCAGGCTTCGTGAGAACGAGCGAAAGTTTCTCAATGGTCATTGTTATATACTGAGAATACAGCACAATGGCTGGCGTAAGGTAGGTGTCCCAAAATGTTTAATGAAATACTGTGCTAACGGGGAGAGGAAGGAGGTATACTTTTAGAATCCATCTGAATCCTCACATCAAGACAGATCGGCCAGCTTGATAGCTACCCAAACCACAACCTATGGACAAGGTTGAAATGCCTGGTTCTTGTAAAAAGTGAAAAGCAAGAAAAGGAAAAAGGGGCTGGAGGAGAATCCTATATAATGAAAGCAATTTAAAAGACATCAGTTTTTAAAAGTAGACGTGTCTAAGGAAGCTCGCTTGAATAAAACCCTCAAGAAGTGCAAAGACGGAATTACTGTATGTTAGCGTTGGTACGGAGCCGTCGTGGGGATGGGGAACATGGTAGAAAGCCTTTGAGTATGAGTGGAAAATTAATTTATCTTATAATTCACTAAGTTGTATACTTTGTGTAGTTGTCTGTATCTTCTGTTTTATTTTACAATAAAAAGGTCAAAAAATCACCATGTCACAGGAGCTTAGGCAAATAGATCACAAAATGTCTAGAAAGGTCTAGTGATACATAATATATGCTGCAGAAGCATTACAAATCATCCACTGATTACTCTCGTACGTATGACGCTGCTCTAGATTCTGGCTGTTGTCTCCAGCCCGATTTCTTCAGTAAATCTCAGATACCCTGGCTTAGACAGAGGACTGAGAAATCTGTTTAGCATGAATATTAATTCCTCTGTTGGATGCCATGTTTTGGTGATATTTTTCACCAGCAAACTGTTTACTGTGTGGCTCCTGTGGGTTGGGGCCCTGGCCTAGGTGTTTGAAACAAAAAGAGGGGGTTGGAATGATTCCTCTGCACAAACAGCATATAAAGTACAGTTACAAAGTGAGATTCCCCCACCCCCCTATTTCATACACGTTAAATTTCATTGACATGTTCCTTAATTCTCAACATGGAACCTCTGGACTTCCACAAACTTCAAAAAAAAAATATTTCACGGGGCATAAATGTCTTTGAATGTATTTTAACCTAAGAAGTCAAAAGGTAGAATGAATTTGTGCCCTGATAATGCTGAACAAGTCTTTAGTTGACATTAATCAAATCGTATCGGTCTCTTTTTTTTGTTTCTTTTTTTTTTTTTTTTTTTTTTTTTTTTTTTTGGTCTTTTGCTTTTGAATAATATTAGATAGTTTAAAGTGTGATACCTGTTATTTCTCAATAAAAAGAAATACGGTTTTGCAATGTATACAAATAGGGAATCAGTATGTTGTACATCTAAAACTAATATAATGCTATATGTCCATAATCCCTCAGTTGAAAAAGTTACAAGTATTTCCTTGTAGTAAGTAATAAGAGTGGAGGGGTGAATTAACTTTACTGAGCAACTAATAAGCCATTTCTTAATGTTGTAGGGTTAGCTCTATGTCTACATCTTGCATTTTCATGGCAAACCTCTCAAGTAGTTGCTATGTTGTTCCAATGGTTGGGATTTGCCCGAGAACATTCCCAAAATTAGGTGGTGGAGCTGAAGTGTGAGCCAGAGCTTCTGTCTCCAGGTCCCACGTTGGTCCTTCCAACCAGGTCACTAAGGGGCAGATTCCAGCATCCTTGTCTTGTGTTTACACCAGACGTCGATAGCCTTTTAAAATTCTAGATCCTATTAAAATGCTAACAGAGGAGGAGCCCTCTTTTTCATTCTCATCAGCTCTTTCTCTAGGGAAGAGCTGAGGATTTAATAAACTAACACCTTTCCTTTGAGTTGGTTTCTTTAACTTTCATTTCCTTTCATCTCTGAGCTTTAGATGTATTAGTGATTGAGATTAACTCAACAATAATTTCCAGACCTCACCATCCCTCTATGGCAGTCTTTCACTTTACCGTTAAACCCTATGAAATTAAATCTGTCTGGGTAAGTCCAACGAAAGATGGCAGTAAGAGGAGGTGAAAACAAGGAAAAGATTCAAAAGAACGGCTGATTTAGCAGGCTGCCGCCTTCCATTGTTTTATTTCCCCCAGAGCAAAAAAAAAAAAAAAAAAAAAAAAAAAAAAAAAAAAAAAAGCTATGATCAATGCCCTTGCCTCTGCCCAGCTAGCACCCTGCTGGAGAGCAGACAGGGTTAAACATATACAGGGAGAACTTTTGCCTTTAGTTGATGCTAAGGCAAATAAACCATCAGCCGTGCAAATACCACAAGCAGGGGAACTGTTAGCCATACATGTACTAATTACTCAAGTACTGACTACAGACAGCAGCAGGCGGCAGCATGCTAATTGGGTATTGTTTGGGATCACTTGAATTTGGGGATCACTTTAATCCTTTTCTAAACCCCCTTACTCTCTTAAATAATCTTTACTCATTTTCTCTGGCCAGAAAAAATCTAAGCTATCAAGATATAGGCTCAGGCAGCATAGTAAGCAAAACAGGAGGAGGAGGGGAAGTGAGAAGAAGAAAGATATTTTCCAACCCAAACCTAGTGCTGATCACATTTCCTATACACAGGTCATTTCCTGTACACATGGACTTGTGTGCATTTTTCCTTCGTGCACCTAAGAAAGCTGAGATTCGCCATTTACCCGTTTCTTAAGATTCTGAATGGTCCTGAATTAATATCAGAAGCAGAGAGGGTACATTTCCATTTTAAGTCTCCAGCTCTCATCCGGTTCCTAACTCTCCTTCCTTCCTTCCTCTCAGCCCATACAACGGGTGAGCCAACTAAGACCCCTGGTGACTCAAAACAATCTTACAGTTAGGAAATTCTGGTCTGTGTGGGACTTTTGCCCTTGAAATTAAGTGATTTAACCTGCTGAAGAGAAAGCTTTTTGAAAATAAATATAAAAGTAAGAATTTAGCAGTGTAAAACTAGGAATGCCAAGGTTACAATTAGCCAGTATCAGCACCTTTCTATTAATAACTGTCTGCCTGTGTTAGTCATGGAAGGAAGCATCCTTTCTATTTCTGCCAGCTGGCCATGGTTCTTCAGGGGGTTCCTAAGGCTCCTGTCCTCTCTTCCTGCTGTATGTATGACAAGGCTGTACAACGATCAGCCCATTGTGTGGCCAGAAAGCTCACTCACGAGCTGTGCTTTCTCAGTGGGATTTCTGAATTTTCAAATGACTCTAATTCACAATCTAAATGCTTCAGGTATCTGTAGATCATCATTGAACATAAAGGCAAATTCTAACTTGGAAGGAAATACATCAAAAGTTCTGAAGGTAAAAGTTAATTTACCCTCTAAGAAAACTCCAATGAAATCTCTCTGCGTCCAAAGTGGCGAAGTCACTGTGAGCAGGTTCTTGCACAGCCTTCGGAGAAAACAACAGAAGACCTCCACTTTGATTCACTTTGCACCTAACAACTTTACGTGATATTCAAATATATGATAATGTATAGCAGCATGGATGCACAGGGCGGTCAACTCCAGGAAGCCTTGCCAGCCAGTAAGTCTAGACTGGCTCTTCAAATCATTCGTGCCCAACGGAAGGCACAGGAAAAGTCTCAGAATCAATAGGAACGTTTCTGAGTGACCAGCAGTGAGGTATAGTTATACAAATTTAGCATTAGGAGGATGAACAAAGCATCTAGGATTAGATTTTAGTAAGTGATGAGGATGGCGAGTAGCTAATTAGGAGTTAAGAGTCAGTGAAAGGACCAAATGATCAAACTGTTCATTTTAATTGGTAAATGAAATACACTTCATTCATATGATAGAGTCCCAAGTCATCGATTGAAAAAGAAATACTAATAAAGGGTAGCATTCCAATATCACAGAAAGGGAGACAGATTCACTGACAAGGATATCATCTCACAGATGATTTTGAATGAGAAATTGCAGAACAGAACGATCTCAATCCTGTGTGTGTGTGTGTGTGTGTATAGGTTTTATTGTTCACACTCAAAGAAATGTAAAAATCACTCTTCTAGAAAAACAAAATGCTCAGAGCTAATAACCATGGGTGACCATGTTGACAATTGGCTGTCACAAGTGACTTCAAGTTCCAGGGGAGCCTTTCTAATGTTGTTCTGAGATTTTTGATTCATACCAAATGTGGAGAATTTCAAATTACAACCAGTGTAATCTCTTCATTAAATCCTAGAATTTAGATGACTTTTCGATTTTATGTGAGCTTGCAAGTGTGTTTGAAATGAACCAAAGTATGCTGGCTCTACCTCTGTCTTGTGATGCACTCTTTGGTAGACCAATGAATAATGGAACAGCGATGATGAAATAATCATGGGAAACTAAAAAATAAGATATTGCTCATTATGACACATACCCATCTAAAGATAAAGGCAAACCATATACTGGCACAGATAATCCGTTAATTGTGTCCATTCAAATTACCCATGTGGACTATAACACCGTGGTTGTTTCTAGGAATCCTGCGTAGTTATGAAGAAGACTATAGTTACTGGCATTACCATATGTCACCATCAGCGAGATTAACTGCGGCAGTCTAGTCAAAAACATGCCATGAAAATTCTTTGGCTTCCGTAATTCTCGAGTCGTGCTTAGCAAATGATTGGGTGTGAAGTTCTTACGTGGAGAAGTGTTGTTCTTTTTGTCAGTGGATACCTGACTAATTGCAGAAGAACACTTCGTTGACTGACGGAGGGAAAAGATAGAATTTTGCCCAAGAGCAATGATGCAAATCTCCCTAAAATCTAACATCCTAGAAATGGAAAATGGAGCCCTGCAGTAAGGAGTTCCACAAGCCTTTGTCTCTGCCTTAGGTTGACACCACCTTCTTCTGTGTCTCTGTTTATTCCTAGAATGCAGTCCCAACAGTACCTGCAGCAGCGTCGAAAATTTGCAGCTGCCTTCCTGGCATTCATTTTCATTCTGGCAGCCGTGGACACGGCTGAAGCGGGGAAGAAAGAGAAACCAGGTAAGCAGTAGGGTTACGAAGGCAAGACTGTTTATGGATTAACATCCATCTGATCCAACTTCCTGGTTTTTGTCCTCCCTCCCTCCCTCCCTTCCTTCTTTCCAAGTATTTAGAAGAACCTAAGGGACACCCCCACCCCCATCGATCTCCCCTCCATCAGTCCTAAAATATAGATGACGATTATTAACATAATGATCATATTAGTAGCTACTCTGTACGGAACACTGACCAGCAGGTAGGTGTTTTATTTCTGTTGCCTCTCTCCCTCAAAAAGAGTCCTGCAAGGAATTTTTGTTGTATGTTATCTTAATAAAGGGGGAAACTGAAGCTCAGAGCAGTATAGCACCTTTTCTATGTCACTTCCAGTGTCAAAAATAGCAGGCTGTAGGGCTGGGAGTCTGTTTAGGTCTGTGATCCACCTCATTCATCTTACATTATTCCATCTCTACGACAGAGAAAGGAACATTGACTTGCCTTACAAGTCATTGACTAGCCTTACAAATGGCTAATCTGACAGCCATTACTTCTAACAGAATGTTTACCGATTTTTTCGTTTCGCTGTTTTTGACCATCCTTTACAGAAGTGTTTGCTTCTAAAAGGAGCTGTCATCAAATCACTTGTACAGTCCCTAGCACATGGTAAGAGTTCAGTTAACATTCTGTCTCCTTCAGTTTTCCTTGTCCCTTCTCTGGATCATTCGTTGAGCCAATCATCTGGCTAAGATGTATCAAGTTGCCAGTATTTACTGGACAGCGAAGAAGGAGGTAGAAAGCACAGACCTCACAACCTCACGCCCTGGAATGAGCTTTGTTAGAGGAATCAGGGTTTTCCAGGTGTTGACTGTTCTTCCTTCCTTCCAGAAAAAAAAGTGAAGAAGTCTGACTGTGGAGAATGGCAGTGGAGTGTGTGCGTGCCCACCAGCGGGGACTGTGGGCTGGGCACCCGAGAGGGCACCCGGACTGGAGCTGAGTGTAAGCAAACCATGAAGACCCAGAGATGTAAGATCCCCTGCAACTGGAAAAAGCAATTTGGAGGTAAGTCCCACTCCTGTTGTCCTGTTGATTAAATCGTATGCTCTGCGATAATGCTTGCATTTTTTCCCTCAGATATTTTTTGGGGTTTTTTTTGAGGTTGACTGCTATCTATCTATCTATCTATCTATCTATCTATCTATCTATTTTGAGTAGCACTTCCCACCTCCATCACCTGTGACAACTAAAAATGTCTCAGGTATTGCCAGATGACCCTTGGGGTCAAAACACTCCCAGATCGAGAACCACTGCTGTACCAGTCAGGACGTAAACTGTATACCCTTGACCCCTCCTAAGGGTGCATCGATCTCTCTTCTTTCCTCTTCTTCTTGGATTTCTCATTCCTTTTTCCTTCCTTCCCCCTTCTCTTGTTTATTCTCCTCCTTCTCCAGACCGCTTTCTGTGACTTTCAGGCCTCCTCTCCGTTTCCATCTTTCCCCGCCATCCACCGTGATTAATAGACTGACTTCTCAGTTCCAGCAAGACTGTTTATAGCCACTTTTCACAGACTTTTCTCTCATTGACTATTGCCATGCTCCTGCTGGCCTCATCTGCCTATTTGGGAAGGAGTCCTTCAATACTTCCAACCTTTTTTTGTTTGTTTGTTTTAGACATCATGAACAGGGGAGAGGGGTAGGAGGGAGAGAGGAGAGAGGACAGAGAGAGAGAGAGAGAGACTGAGACTTAAGCAGGCCCCAAGCTCAGCATGGTGCTAAAGCAGGGCTCAATCCCACGACCCTGAGATCGTGACCTGAGCCAAAATCAAGAGTCGGATGCTCAACTGACTGAGCCACCCAGGCGCCCCAACACTTCCAACTTTTAAACCCACTATTGAACATCCAGATGACCTGTTTCTTCCACATTCCAGACTTTCTGTCTCTCTTGGCCATGGTAGTTCACAATGCCCCAAATGTTCTTACTCTTTGCGAAAATGTATTCTGACCTGTAAGTCAGTGAAGAAGGACAATGGGTATACTCACTGTATTTTTTTTTCTTTCTTTATAACCTTTGGGGTACTTTTTATGAATGGTGGTAACTTCTATAAGGGCACTGTGAAATTCAGATACATTTGGTCTTACATATACATGGGTCCCCTAAAGACCCTACGGAAAGTTTTTAAAAGTATGTCTTCAAGAACGTATACCTAGACTTTATAAAGAACTCTCAAAACTAAGAATCCAATTAGAAGGTGGGTAAAAGATAGGGACAAACATTTTGCCATAGGCAAAATACAGGTGGCAAATAAACAACTGAAAAAAGCGTTGAACTTATTTTCCGTTAGGGAAAAGGAAGTGAAAACCAGTGAGATGTCACTGTATACTGCGCATCCATCAGAATAACTAAAATTACAAATAACACCAAAGGCTAGAGAGGATGTAGGGAAACTAGATCACTCATACTTTGCCGATGGAAATGTAAAACGGTATAGCCACATTAAAAAAAAAAAAAAAAAAAAAAAAAAAAAAAAAAAAAAAAAAAAAAAAAAAAAAAAAAAGAGGATGGCAGTCTTGTTATAAGACCAAACATCTGTTTACCATACAATGTAGGCTTCACTTTTGGCCATTTACCCTAGAAGAATGAAAACTTCCATTGCTATAAAACTCTGTACGCGGATAGTAAAGAGCAGTTTTATTTATGACAGCTAAAACCTGGAAACAACCCAGATTTCCTTCAACGGGTGAGTGCTGAAACCGTAATACATTCCCATCCCACCATGGGATACTACCCGGCAATAAAGAGAAACTCACTGTTGAAACACACAACTTGGATGGACACCCAGGAAATTATGCTGCATGAAAAAAGCCAATCTCAAAAGGTTACCTACTGTATGATTCTATTTACATAACATGTTTGTTTGTTTGTTTAGAGTGAGAGGCAGGGCAGAGGGGAGGAGGGGGAAAGAGGAAATTTTAAGCGGGCTCCATGCTCAGTGCAGAGTCTGACAGGAGGCTCGATCCTACAACCCTGGGAACATGACCTGAGCTGAAATCAAGTCGGACGCTCAACCAACTGAGCCACCCAGGCGCCCCTACGTAACGTTCTTAACATGATAAAATTATAGAGATGGAGAATGGATGAGTGATTGCCAGGGGTTAAGGAGATCTAGAAGGGAGGAAGATGCCTAGGCTAAGGCTAGGAAAGGATTCACCCGAAGGACTCCTGTGTTGGAGCTCTTTTGTGTGTTAATGGTATTGATATTCACTCATATCTGCACATGTGGCCAAGTCGCAGGGAACTAAATGTGTGCACACATGCATATACACAAATGAGTGCACGTGAAATTGGCAGGGCCTGAATAACTTTCGTGGAATGTATCCCTGTTCATTTCCTGGTTGCGCTAGCGGGCTCTGGTTATATAAGATCATCACAATTGAGGGAAATTGGCTGAAGGATCTAGGGATCTTTCTATATTACTTCTTGCAACTTCATGTGAATCTACAGTCCTCTCACTGCAGAAAGTGAAAAACAAAAGTGTGCCTACTTCTCTGGCACTCCTAGAGGAGCTCAAAGATTTCTGTTTGGTCCTACCCTGCCTTTAGCGGAGTGCAAATACCAGTTCCAGGCCTGGGGAGAATGTGACCTGAATACCGCCTTGAAGACCAGGACCGGAAGTCTGAAGCGAGCCCTCCACAATGCCGACTGTCAGAAGACAGTCACTATCTCCAAGCCCTGTGGCAAGCTGACTAAGCCCAAACCTCAAGGTAGGTCCCCGTCGTCATGCCCTACTTGTCATAGGCACACACTGATAGACTCCGGCAGGATCCTCAGATGTGGAAACTCCGATTTTCGGAAGGGGGATCTTAGGCGAATTACCTTCACAGAGAGATTGAAAACACGCTGTATATGGAGTGTCACGCCAGTGCTTTTCGGCAGGCAGCTGAGTTCAAATTGGAGTCCTTTGCACAGAAGGGGAGTGGGGGCTGGGATGGGAACAGGCTCCCAGCACAAATCAACAACTTAGCAGAATGGGCCAATTAAGACAGTTGTCATATGGTGACTATATATTCCAAGCCCTAAACTGGGGCTGCCTCCTGACAAGTATGAACACATTTATGAAGATCATGAAGCAGAAAATTTAAAATCAGATCTCTCCTAGATTATGCAACATACAGAGTTTTCATGAAGTCAGCTACTTTATTTTACATTTTTCCTTTCTCCGCTGCATAAGTTGATAGGTCCTATATTTCTTATCCTTCGTTCAGAGCCTTTATTTTTTTTTTTTAGTTGGATGTTTACCACCTTACATTTATCATGGAATTTTTAAATTATGTAGAACCGTCTTCCTGTTCGCTCCCAGAAAGTTACACTCTGCTCCAATGCCGGGGAAAGTAAACCAAAACAAATATCCCAGGCGTGGTTTCGTACAAATAGAATCCCAGCTGAGGGGGGACAAGGAGGTGTTAAACTCTCATTTCACTATGGGCTGAGCTATGCCCCTCCCCCGTCAATTCAAATGTTCACGTTCTAACCCTCAGTACCCCAGAATGTGACTGTGTTAGGAGACCAGGCCTTTAAAGAGGTAAAGTTAAATGGAGATGTATGAGTGGGCCCCAGCCCAGTCTGGCATACAGAGAAAGGAGATTAGGACACAGACATATATAGAGGGAAAACCATACAAAGACACAGGGAAGAGATGGCCATCTACGAGCCAACGAGACACATCTCGGAATAAATGAACACTGCTGACAGTCGATCTCCGACCTCTGGCCTGTAGAACTCTGAGAAAATAAATTTCTCTTGTCGAAGCCACCCACTCGGTGGTACGAGGCATGGCAGCCTTCACAAATAAACACAGCATGTCTCAGGGAACTCTCAACTGTCTCCTTGGCCTCTGCCCGTATTTGAGCTCTAAATGGACCTACAGATACACACTGGTCAGATTAAATGCAAGGAGACACTCAGAAAAATGAACACAAAACCCTCATAAATGAAAATAGAAGAAAAAATGCCTCCAGAAGTCAGGATTGACTAGCTAGCTGCGAATAGGCAGAAAGGACTCATGTTATAGGCCTTTGGTCTCTGATGGAGTTGTCCATGGACATGGTACCCACAACTGTGGGGTGGCTGGAATCTAGGATTCAGGATGCCCCCTTTCCAGGTCATGGGAATCTGCTGGTCATGGTGAAAGGCATGATGTGGGGCTGGAGTCAGTGTCCGAGTGTGGGTGCCAGCTTTGTAAGTGTTACTTGTCTGGAGACAACTACACAGATCTGATGAAAATTGGTGGCCATATCTATCCAGTGAGACATTTCCAAAACCAGGAGAACTCAGAGATACAGTTTTCAAATTAATTTATTTGTAAGCCAGTCAGAGAGGGGCGCCTAGGTGGCTCAGGCGCTTAAGTGTCCAACTTCCGCTCAGGTCATGATCTCACAGTTCATGAGTTGGAGCCCCGCACCGGGCTCTGTGCTGACAGCTCAGAGCCTGGAGCCTGCTTCAGATTCTGTGTCTCCCTCTCTCTCTTTCTGCCCTCCCCTGTTCGTTCTCTTTCCCTCTCTCTCTCTCAAAAATAAGTAAGCATTAAAAAAAAAAAGCCAGAGAACCCAAATACTCAGCATAAATAGACAGTGGGAAGGAAAAGGAATTAAAGAAGCCTCCATGCTATACCACAGTGGTTCTCCATCTGGCCTGAGCATTAGAATTTTCTCTGAGAACTTATAAAAATCCCAGTGCCCAGGCATAACCCAGACCAGCCAGATCAGCATCGCTACCTTTGAAAATTAAGATGTTCCTAAAAAGATTTCATTATCAGCCACAATCTAGAAATACTGCGCTAATATGAAGTTCATAGAGACCACACATAGGCATGTACACAATCTGTTCTTGTTTTTTCCTCTGGGTGAGAGAAACTTCAGTTTAATAAATAGGGGAAGAAAAAATGAGAGAAGGATTAGGTGGTAGGTGGTGGGGGGGGGTGTGCTGGGTAGATATGGAAAATGTTGAAAAGTTTGGAATAAATTGGACAAAGTGGGGACATGATTCAGAAAGACCCTTCAGGATATTTGGTAATTCACTGGGTGAGGACTTCTTTTGGCTGATGGATAGTTGACTTTTTACATTTTTACATTTTCTCATCCAGTGATACGTAATGAAGGTTAAAAGTTTGGCTCAGGCTTTCACTTTGAAAACTGGCGGTAAAAATATTTCAAGTTGGTAAACATTTAATTTGTTGACATATCAAAAATTAAGGTATATGATTAATTGAAAATGGGATTAGCCTGAGTGAGTTATATATTTCACAGTACTATGTAAAGCCCAACACTGATGTGCAAAGGTGACTCGCAAATGGAAGAACACACGTTCTAGAGCATGATTTCTTCTTCCTATAATTTTAATTCCAGTTCAGTTAATATACCATGTCCTGTTAGTTTCGGGTGTACCGTATAGTGATTCAACACTTCGATACATTACCCAATGCTAATGTAATCGCACTCCTTAATCCCCATCGCCTGTGTCACCTTCCCCCCCCCCCCCCCCCCCCCCCCCCCC